CCCGCCACTCACTCCCATCCCCAGGCGGGCTGCTGCTCGGTCGCTTCTGTGAGAGCTTCGGTAGCGATTATCCCTCGGGAAAACAGGACTTCCTGTTGTCAAAGTTTTAAAGTAAGACTTGACAGATTTGGGTAAATGGAGGTGCCTTCTAGCAGTGTGAACTTCTGGCACTGTAAATATGTTGAGAAGGGGCGTGAGTGCTGTGCAACAAGTCCATATGCTTGCAACTATGACGTCCTTGGTAATTCTTATCTTGCTTTAATGTGAGTGTACGTTTTTTTTTCTTAATCTGTGATTCACTTCTTGGTCATTTTGAATTGTTAAAGCCACAAACTTACTGCAAAATACTCAACACGGTTTTTGTAAGTTTGATGTGGCTTCCTTTTAAAACATAAATACCATCTTAAAATAATTTTTGAAGTTGTTATCTGAAGTAGTTTAGCATATGTAATTTTTAAACAGCTTCACTGAAAATGTGTTTCTCACTATAATTGACTTTCCAGCAGAAAATGGATAAAACAGCAATCTTTGTTAGCTAGTGGGCTGTGGACAGGCCAGAAGAGATAGTGTACTTCACCAGTGAAATTCACATTAGTATCACTTCTGAGGCAAAGCTTGGGAAAAAAACTAATATTTGAAATCCTGAGAAGCTTATATTTGTTCACCAGAAAATACTTATTTTTGGTTTTTTTGGTAGTCTATTTAGCAAAATGTTAATTGAGTCAATGGCTGAACTTTATGAATCATGCCTAGATCTTGTCCGCATGACCATGATTAGTTCATGCACGGCTGTTGTGCTCCTGGTGCTTTCCTGAAGTCTGTGAGAGAGCTGTTCTTCTGCTTCTTACGCTGTGAAGAACGAATCACCCTCTTCTGGCTTTCCTGAAGGTCTGGGAGAATCATCTTCTCACTAACCACCTTCCCCATAGCTGGTACTCTTCTGCCTCTGCTACTGTTCTCAAGATGCATGTATCTGAGAAGTGTGATTTTTCTTCACTGTATGCATTTTGCAAGTATAAAAAGTGTTTGCAAGAAAGCATGGCATTAAAACACAAACAAAAAGAATTTACACAGAAAATGGTGTGCAGTGGGAGACATTTGACTAGGACTTAAAACAGGAGTGGAAGATTGATTGAAAGCCTTACATGTGGAGATGGCCAGGGAATAAAATTGGAAAACTAAATCGCAAATCTGTAGCCACTCGGAAAAGATGACTTGGGTACTACTTGAAACTTTTTTATTTTCATACTGCTACACTTTTTTAAAAAAACATGAGTCCTTGAGTGTTTTGATGGTGTTGGACTAGTGTCTGGAAGCTTAATATTTTGTGGGGTGGGAATGTCATCTTAACCTAACTTCTTACAACATATTTTGAAATAAGTACTATTCAGAACTGCAATTCTTGGTTTTGCTGGAAGAACTTGTATTATTTTATTTTTAAAAGGAATTAAAACACTATCTCGTTGCACTGAGTACTTGCTTTGGCAATATGAGATGTTGATGGTCTAAATTCTAGTATTACAAGATACTGTTTCTGATAGGCTTGGTATATTGGGTAGCTTACAAAAATGAGTTCCTTGTGTTTTTCCTTTGTTCCTTCAAATCCAAAGCTTAGTTCTGGGTATAAGATCCTTTCAGCTGACTTTGCTTTAATTTCATTCGTTTTCCATTTCAACACTTCCATTATTTGGATTGGCTTCGTTCTGTAGTAATCAGACAAGCTATCATGCCTGAAATAAAAGTTAATAGTTCTGTTTGTGCTGTGTTCATCCGTAAGCCAGCCTGGGTTTGGATTTCCCATTTCAGTTATAGGCCAGTCTGATTCCTCTTGCTTTAGTATTAGAGACGTTGTTGATTTTGTAGTTCTGTTGTGTGACTATGTGGATTGGGACATTACATAATTCATGAACATTTTTTAAATCCACTCTGTTTCGTAGTTGGTAGATGGATGTCCCGGTCCAGTGTTGGTTCGTGGTAGTTTCTATAGTCACATTTATGTAAGTGGCTGTTGCTAAATAGAAATATTTCTAGTACAAACTGTCATTCATTTTCAGCTGTAGTGTGGCTGGATTCTTTGAAAAGCGGGCCTTCTGCCTACTTCAAATTCTGGTTGCAGTTGTAAAGCCTAGGTCTCTAGAACTGTTAAAGCCAGAACCAATGCTATACACTGTGTCAACCCACAGTCTCAGCTTTTAGGTAGTAAGATGCAGTTTCTCAGACTTGAGTGCTGATCTCAAGGAGGATCAAAATGGTTTGTGACAAGTTCTGTTATTTTTAAAAAAAACACACACCCAAAACAAAACAAAAAAGTCCTCAAAACCATATTTAGTTGCTAAGCAACTCACAGCAGTGCCCTGCTCATTATGTTTTAGAGGATCCATAAGGCTCACAGGCTCCCACACTAATGTGAGACGAGGCACCCTTTTATCAAAACACTGCCTCAGGGACATGGAGTTCTGGCTCTTATCTTTAGAGGGTATTGTAGAAGAAAAGGTAACTCCCAATGTTTTATGCAAAGAGAAAGAAAAGAGGTAGTGAGGTAACATCCCACTAAGATTTTTAGATGGGTTCTCTTTTCCATGGTGCTCACCTCTAGGTTCAGTGGAAAGACTGTTCCTCTTATGCAGCAAAACAGTAACAAAAAAGGGTGGTGTCTTTGGAGATGGTACTGAGGTCAGCAAGAGTTCACCTTCTCTGTTTCTTTTTTTTTTTTAAATAGTTGAGGGTGGAAAAGATGAGTATAATGAGGAAGAATATGTCCCTGAAGAGAGCCTGAGGCAATAAGGAGGCTTGAATAGAAACCATTAGACTTGGGGAAACTACTTCAGGAAGAGAAAGTCTGATAAATAAGCATAAACTAAGGTGAAACTAAGGTCTTCATGGGACTGTGGTAGATATCAGTAGTCTGAGCAGGCCTATGAAGTTTTAAAATTAGTCACTTAAATTTCTTGTGCTTAAAAATGTATATTTGATGTTTATTTGAAGAAAATATTTGGATTCTTACAGCAAGATAAAAATACATAAAACCTCTGTACATCTAGGTCAAATTTAGGGTGATTTAGCTGCAAAATAAACATGAGGTACAGAACCTCACTTTTGTTGTACACAATTCTTATGTGTGTCTATTTGTGAGAAAGGAAATTAAATTGTTGCTTATGAACCTTGATTAATAATCAGATGATTCCCAAGGTAACAAGTTTCAATGTTTCAGAATCTGGCCATGGACCATTTTGCGGTCACTTGTATTTATTGGTCCTTGGAAGGTGGTCAGAATCATACGACTAGTTCTATAGTGAATCACCCAAACTAGTTTGATGCCTCCAAGAAGTAAAGCCTACTAACTCATGTAGAATTGTGAGAAGTTCTGTATCCAAAGTGTTAGAATTCATCTCTTATCTCCTGTTTATAAGAAAAAAAGGAGACCTGTGGTGGTCAGTGAAACATATTTTCAAGGTAGGTCTGGTAAATACATGTAGTATTTGCATTTGTTTCTTTTGCTTCCCCTGTCCTCTACTACAAGAATAGCTACAAATACATGGAGCACTGCACTGTGTAGAACTGCTTGACCTGAGAAATCTTCTAATAGATCATTATTAACTGGAATTTATCTGTTGCAGGAACAAAGAAAAAAGCTGCGTGTCCAGGACTTGGTCTGTTTTATACCGTACTGTCTGCCTTCCTTTTCTCAGTGGCCTCTTTATTTCTTAAAAAAATAGAAGATGTACATTCAGTGGAAGTGAGTGCATTTCGATGCGTTTTCCAAATGGCATTTGTTCTTCCTGGTTTAATATACTACAAGTAAGTGTAGCAAATGTTTAAATTTAAAGTTATTTCTTAAAAATAGACCTAGAATTATCACTCACTTAAATCAGATTGCAATATTATTTTAATTCAGACTTCAATTGCATAACTGCATTGTTTTGGATTAGTTGATAGTTTCTTAATACAATTCAGAAAACTGAAAATCTTTGACTCCCTGAATTGTAGAGGTTTCTACAGGGATTATGTCAAATGTATTGATCTTCCATGAAGTGGTATTCTTAAAAAATAGAAGGTAATTTGTAGATACTCTTGTGTTATTTTGCAAGCAAAAAATTATTTGCTAGAAGAACAAGTTCTGGACTCTGAATGTGATTGGAGCTAGTGATGGGAATAAATTGGTCTGTGGTCAGACAGTTAAAAATATTTTGATATTTGAGATAAGTCTGTCATCTAGAAAGTTGTGTACAGTCTGGAAGGATGTGTACATTTAAATGTGATTGGATGTTGGTCATAAAACAAGCAAGGGAGTGACATTAATGTGATGTTTCTGTTTTTCAGAACAGGGTTTTTGGGACCGAAAGGTAAAAGAATTTTTCTTTTCTTCCGAGGATTCCTTGGATCTAGCGCAATGATTCTTCTCTACTATGCTTTCCAAGTCATGCCATTAGCTGATGCCACTGTTATAACTTTTAGCAGTCCTGTTTTTACATCATTGCTGGCATGGATCTTTCTTAAAGAGAAATACAGTATTTGGGATTTTCTGTTTACTCTCTTCGCAATCACTGGAGTGGTTCTTATTGCCAGACCACCATTTCTGTTTGGGTCAGACGTCACGGGGATTGAAGGAAGTTACACAGATCACCTTAAAGGAACTATAGCAGCAGTTACAAGCACAGTATCTGCAGCTTTGACTTTTGTTATACTAAGGAAGGTGGGAAAATCTGTGCATTATTTTTTGTCAATTTGGTATTATGCAGTCATTGGTTTAATTGGATGTGTTATAGCATTGTTTGTTATGAATGAATGGCGTCTACCGTATTGTGGTAAAGATAGGGTTCTTCTAATATTAATAGGCTTGTTAGGGTTAGGGGGTCAGATATTTCTCACAAAAGCATTACAGATAGAGAAAGCTGGACCTGTAGCCATAATGAAAACAATGGATGTGGTCTTTGCTTTTATTTTACAAATTCTTTTTCTCAATCACCTACCAACTTGGTGGACTGTGGGCGGTGCCCTTTGTGTAGTAGCTAGCAGTTCTGGAACTGCCATTCGTAAGTGGAGACAAAGCTTGAAAAAAGCTAAACAAAATGAAATCTAAGAATACAGACACTAATTCATTACAGAAACAAGAAATCTTGGAATATATATATGATATTTATTTTTATTTATTTTAAATATCTCATTTACCAAATTGTAGTAGCAAGTTATACCGAATAAAATAAGTTGATTTAAAAAAAACCCAAAAACACCAAAATTGAAGATGTTTTAACTGATTAGGTATACGCTTTTCTTTCTCGTATTTAGGCATGAAAATATGAGAAGTAGAGAGATATTTAAAAGTTGCTTGCTTCCTGTCAAAAGTGGGCAATAGTTTTTTGGGTTTTATTTTCCTAAAATTCCTGATTCTCCACTTCTTAGACACTTTCTCTCTTCTTCTGAGCAGTGGAAATCAGTCTCCCAGACTTATTTAATACTATTCTGTGCTTGATTACCAGAGGGATTGCAGTACAAAAGTTAGAAGGGAATAAAGAGTTATAATCCGATAAACATCCAACTGTTATAGAACAGATAAAGCTTGCACATTTACAGGCTTTCTAATATTTTTTTTTTTGCACAAAACAGATGTCGAATGGGGATTTATTTTTAATTTGGATTCTAAAAGAACAAAGGCTATTTCATCTTTCCAAGTAATATCAAGAGAAAATTAACTTGTGAAAATTATCTATCAGCTTTGCTTTCTTTAAAAAAGAATTTTAAATGTTTGTACTTGCTTTACAGACATAATGAAACAACGTAATCCCTTTTTTAAAAATGTGATTTTCCCAATACGCATATCTTTAGTTGCTGCAGTCTCCATGACTAGAGAAAACAGTTAATTGTATACCACTCGTAAATTAACCATTTCTTGTGGTATGGAATGTTATCCTGTAGCTGCACTTTTCTTTACTCTATGCAAAAGATTATATTTTTTTGGTATTTAATATAGGTTATTTAAATGCTGCTTATGACCCTTTTGTTTAGGTTCTTTTGTACAAAAGTCCTTTATGAGACCAAGTTTAAGTCTTCTTGGCCCTCATAAAGTTAGGAGGATTTACATATTTTCTAAGAATTTACAAGAGTGCAGAGTAATTGCAGTTTCACAGAAAATGCAGGTTGGCCAAGGTCATAGCAGAGATTCTATGGAACAGGTTTGAGGAGAGGTTGGTGGGAAGGTGAAGCTATGCATAGAATCATAGAATCATTATGGTTGGAAGAGACCTCAAAGATCATCAAGTCCAACTGTATACCCAATGCCACCATGCCCGCTAAACCCACTAAACTATGTCTTGAAGCGCCACATCTAAACATTTTTGAACACCTCCAGGGATGGTGACTCCACCACCTCCCTGGGGAGCCCGTTCCAGTACCTAACGACCCTTACAGTGAAGAAGTTCTTCTTAATATCCGGCCCGAACCTCCCCTGGAGGCATCCACAGTACATCAGGCACTACTGGTGGGCAGCTTCAGCCCCATTTCCCCAGCTGGCCCTTTTAAATCTGCACTTAGTCACTTCTCTTGCACATATTCTCACTTTTATAGGCTTTGATACCAGTGAATACTAAGAAAAAAGGCTTATGTTACTGATCTTAGAGTCCTTCATGTTTGAGGAGGAGTATATGTTTAGTATCAGGTAGGGGGATTTTCCCAAATGGAGTCTTAAATGCTTTTGGATCTTGTCTCAGTAGTGCTTAAAGAAAATTTTAACTTGGATCTTTGTTTGATCCTTTGTAACATGAGGTGGTTTTCAGTTATTTACTCACTCTAGTGTTTTTTTTTTAAAGGAGAATGCTGTGTTCTGTAGACTTGATACATGTTTTTTTCAAAATCACTAAAGGTGGCAGATGTTTTCGTATTTTGATTTACAGATGTCTAGTTACATATCTTTTCTTATGCCAATAAGCATTGCATCCTGGCAGGGCAAATTTAGGGACCTGAGTCCTGAAGGACTGGAATGGGTATAGTACTTTGGGATGCATCTGGATGTGAGGAGCCATCTTTGTGGAAGATTCTGTACATAAACCAGCACCCTGAATCCATATGCATTTATGGACACGAGCAGATTCCATTTGAGTGATAGAATCAGTTCCTGCTTATAGCTATCCATTCTCTGCTTCTCCTGAAGGCTGAAGTTACTGCTGACAAGGTCAGGACTAGTATGAAACTGCTTTCAGTCTCTTTAAGGCCTGATGTAATAATAAAATTCCAGTTTGGCATTCATTTTGCTTAATATTTGAAATTGTAAACTGGGATTATATTCTTCTGCTGCTCAGCCAAAACTGCTATTGAGCAACAGCTTTCAGAGGAGGGAAGGAAAACAGACTGCATTTCTTACTGCTTCACTTCATGTTTAATATGCATGTGTTTGAATTGACACTTATAAAGGTGTGGTTCCATAGCAGTTCAGATTGATGTAAACCTGGGTTGTCAGCTAGTCCTGCTCCCTCCAGTTGGCTCAGTGCTTGTACTTATGTGGTTATGTGGTGAGCTGGCCCTGGGAGCTGATCCAGCTACATAACTTTTTAGTAAGATTGTTGGAGAGGGCAAAACCAGAGTAGCCTGAACTTGATGACAGTGTGAAAACATTAGGAAGGGGAATTAGATAATAGGTATGAATGTTGCTTTGTCAGTACAGAATAAAAATAATGTGGAAACTTACATCGAAAAATCTTTAGGTCATATGATTTAAATGAATCTTGTTTACAACTAGAGAAGAACAGGCTACTGAAGAAAGGACTGTTTTGTTACCCTTAACACATAAGTAAGTGTAGAAAAGGCACTGACCTGAAATCAACAACCCGATACAGTGATTGGTAATTTTTCTCTCAAGTTTTTGCAGAAACTCTTAGAATATATTTCCATACCTGTAGTGCCAAAAACCCCAGATGATTTTTTTTTTCTTTGTCCAAACCTATAGGATTTCCTTATGATTCCATCTACTTTTGCTGTTCCTAACCTTCCTAAATATTGAAGTTGTTAAAATAATAATCTAAACAAGATCCTACGTTGGAGAACATTGTAATTTTTGGCACATTATTTTGATTTTGATCCATCTTTTAGAGAATTGTTTAACTGGTATGAGAATGAAGGACTTGACTGTTGCTTCTCTAGTCATAAAACATGACAAGCTAGCTTCTATAACTAGCTTTTCTAGATGATTTTGGGAATGTAAGAAATTTAAGCTTGAAGTTTTTTCAACCACCTTGATTTTTTTTATTTTTCTTCCTCTCAAATGTGGGTTGAAAACCTAAATTTTAGTTGGAAGCCTTGAAGAGAATGAAATTATACAAAAGTATGGATACTCTAAAATGTGTTTGTTTTGGGTTTTTTAATTGAAAATATTTCTTACAATTCCTGTTAAGATGGTCAAACTTTTTTTTTCTTCCAGAGCTTAACAGTTTGAGAATCTGAAATTAAACTGGTTGAGCCTTGATTCTTTCAGATTCTGATTTTTCCTTTTTTTTTTTTTTTTTAATTTTATTTTACTTTTGAGATCTTTTTTAGCTTTTCAGGTTTTAATACAGCAAGTTTCTCAGGGTCAAATGTTATTTTTCTGAGCTTTGAGTCAGAAATATATTATTAATGTTCATTACCTGTAGTGTCCTGTTGTGATCTTTACAGTATTTTTAGGTTCAATAAATGTACTTTTCTAGTAGGACATCGTTCCTTTGTAATATGATAGAATATTGTTGCATTGCAATCACTATGCTATAAAGTTAAATTTCTCTTGAATTTCAACATATTAATTCAATATTAATTTCAGTTGTTCCTGAATAGAAAAAGTAATAATTAATTATTGGTTGTTTTTCACATAAACACAGGGTAAAAAGATTTAGTTGTTACTGATGCCTCAAGAGCATGTTTCTTATATTCGTTACTATGCAAAACACTGTAATCATCTGTTGTCTTCAGTGGGACTTTATAGCCTTAAAGCCTTATGTACCTGACTCTTCTATGGAAAGCTGATGGCTGAAAAAGCTGTGTACTGTCACTGTGCAACAGCCAATTTCTTTCAGGTTAAGTTGGTTGTCAAAGTATGCTCTAAAATCTCTCTAAATACATCTACACTAAGAATTTGACAAGCTTATTGTGTAGGCAAGTGCAGTCTACATAATTAAAATGGATTTCCTGTATTTGTCTAATACCAGGCATGAAGTAACCTCAGCATAACAGCATTGGTGAAATTAGTTCAATCTCATTTTTCTTCTGAAACCTGAAACTCGACTCTTT